CCTAATCCTGCTTGTTTTTCCTGTTCCAGATCCACATACTCCAGCCGCTCTGCCTGCCACGTCCAGCCTCCCCTCCAGAGCAGCCCAGCTCTACGTCTTCCCTCTACGTGTGCTTCGTCAACTCCTGGTCAGTGTCGTGGACAAAATAAAGCCTTTTTGACACTTCACCACAGTCTCCGTTGTAGTGCTTGCATAGCGGGTTCTCATCTCCAGTCACTTCTCGGGAAACCTAACAAGGTGCCTGCCTGTATTAAGTTACACACCAGTGATCCAAAAACAAACATGAAACATTTTGTTGATGATCTAACACAGAGAAGCAAACAACTCACAGAATAAATTAGAATAAGCTCCTGCAAGTGATAGCAATGCCGGGGTTAGTGTTTAAAAAGGGTGAAACAAATTGTGCAGAAGTAGCCCCCCCCCCCCCCCCCCCCCCCACACAGGTATAATCTTAATCTCTGTTTACGTGTGCACATGTTAAACCAGGCTTCAACAGCACACAGGTAGCCTGCATGTCTGTTTAATGCTCATCAATTTAGCTTGCACTACTTTGCGATTAAATTAAATGTCGGCATTGTGAGTAGTTGTATTATTTGAACAGGAATTGTATTTCCTATTTAAACAATATGGTTTGAACAAAACAATATATTGTTTAAGTCAAGCCCAGTCAGGAAAGCCCATCATTCAGATTCGGAGAAACTCGCAACACAGTGGAACTTAAAGCAACGAGAGACAAAAGCCAAGGAACCTTAAGACTAAAATCAGAACTGCACACCTAAACAACCACCAAAGGTAACCCCACTCACAATATGACTAGTCAATCCAGTCGTCCTGGTAAACGTCTGACATGTGAAAACAGTAGCACATTTAGGAAGTTATGAGAGCTGATACAGGGGGTGACCAAAGTCAAGTTTCTGCTAGTAGTATTAAAAAAGGTAAATAGTGACTTTAAAGTGATTCGCATGCTTCAGACATATATGCATAACATTCACTCATGTTGACATTGTTGCACAAAGTGGATATGTACCACTTTATGGTTGCAACCAAGAATTGCTTTTATCATTGTTTAAATCAGAAGATTGTTTTCTAGATCAATAATTGTGCGGCCTATAAAACGTCAGAAAATAATAAAGCACGTCCATCCCAGTCTCCAGAGAACAAAGTTTATTTCTTTGTTTTGAATAATAGCAGGACCTTCACATGTTGAAGCAGCTGAATAGCATTTTTTTTTTTTGCAATAATAAATATGTTAAGATAAATTAAAAAGTTGGATGTTGTTTGTCATTTAATTGAGTTAATAATAGTTGAAGCCACATGATTACAGGAGAAAATAAATCATCATGTTAGGCATAATTGTGCCTTAAATGTAATATATTCTGCTCAGATTATAATTTAGTGGTAGGGTGGTTCAGTTGAGCATCCTATCTGTCCTCTATTTTTAGGAAAATAGCTTTCTGTTGTTATCCAACTTTTAAACCAAAGTTCCAAGTTGGTCAAAACACGGCAGATAAGAATTCACTGAGGATCACTTGTAAGAATGCTTTATAAATTAAACATGTGGCTGTTCATTTAAAAAGAACAGCTCGTATACACACAGCAGTCCCTTTAACCAGCTGGTAGAAATCACACCAGCCTGCTTTTTCCAGCTGATTCCACCTCTTCCTCGTACTGCTTACCAAAGCCAAAATCCTCTATGTCGGTTTACCATTAACAACAAAAAAACACCCCTTTAATTCTGATACCTTTGCAGAGTTACAAACTTAAAGTTGACTTTGCTCAAGTGCGCTGCTAGTTATCAGACTAACCGTATCTAGCTAATTAAGGGTAGTTACCCGGTCAGGCTGAAGAGCTAGCGCCCTGCTGTTAGCAGCTAGCTGTGTCTGCCTACCTCGGCTGAGATGCCATGGTGCGCCTCTCTTAACAACCAAAGTTGGTTGTCATGCGTTTCTGACAGTCTTCGCCAAGCTGCTCTTCTCACTTAGTCACATTTTTCTTGTTTTACCGCTGAATAATTTGCTATTTTAAAGGGCTGTCAGGCCTATTGTATGTAATACAATAGAATACATTAAGGATATGTTCCTCTTGTGCTTGTTTCTATGTACCTAGATACTAGGGTATACTGTTATAGACCCCGGACCATTTATCAGTCCTTAAAGAATGTTTTAATGTATTTATTTTGTTAATTAATATTTTTGGGAATATTTGAATATTCATTTTTATACATGTCTTTATTTAATCACCTATAGTTTAAGTTGTATACCTATTAACAATATCATGGGTGAGTAAGATATACAGTATATCAGTCCAAATGTGTGTTCAAAGTAAAAAAACTTAAATATATTCAAAAGAAACATGACCTTGGTGATCTTTTGCACACACACATACACACAAACGATACTGCACAGTCACAAGTGTGCAGGACTGAAGTTTGAGACTTTTAGTAGTTTGAATGATAACCAGTAGGTGGTAGTAGTTTCCTGTAAATAGAATAGTTGTTCCAAACCTCTTTCCCCTTTCTACCATTGAGTTAAATGATGGCCCCTGATTGAGAAATACATTTTATGGATATTCCATATTTCATTTAATGCGTAGCAGAAAAACAATTGATAAACTGTACAATTAACCAAATATATCTGCAGGAAGATTGTGTAAAACAAGGGATTTAGATACATTTGGAACAGAAAGAGCTGCGATTTTTTTTTTTTAATGAATTCCTAAACTATACATTTGTCTGAATGACATCTACTGTATAAATATATGTTTAACATTTTAACTGATAAGGCATGCCGAATATGGTTATTTTATGACACATTTCGTTGCTTTCCTCCCTAATGCTTGGCGATTTTCCTAGGTTATTCTAACCGCATACCTTTCTAAAGCAGGACAGGGTGTTTGGCAGGGAAGGAGATATATTCAGTTCTTCACTCTGCCCTCAACCTGTTAGACTTACAAAGAAAGTGTATATCATAAATAATAATCCAAACTTAGAAACTAGAACAAAATAACCGACATTTGAATAAAAAGCTCTTTTTTTTTGGTAAATGGATGAACATTACATTACCAGAGCAGCACATTCTCACATAAAAGTACAACAATATAACACTAGTCCAATCTAATTTATTTTCATTTTTGTATACTTACTGATATTCTGTTTTGCAATTTAATGTAATGGTAATTGAGATTTCAAAAGTAGGTTCTTTTTTAGCAAAAATGTACATTTATATCATTGAATGAATCTCAACATTGAAACACAACATCAACTACAAAATAAAAATAAATTGTTTTTAATATTGCCATAAACACTTACAACCATTCACATCTTTTGCATCACTCTGGACCAATGATATATTTTCAGATCTTCAAAAGTCTCTATTATTGCTTAACAAAGATGGATTCACACATTTAGAGTGATCTACATGCTCTTCTATGGTCAAATGCCATCAAATACCTTCACAACGAAACTAAAAGTTTAAAGTCACATAAATCAAGCTTTAACAATATCATACAAAACGTGTGGGGAGTTGCGTCAAGCGTTGTTTCAACTACAGTACTCAAGCACACAATTTAGATACTTGGACTGTTCATTTAATTATCCTTTTACTTCCACTCAACTACGTTTCAGAGAGAAATATTGTACTTATTAGTCCTATAAAATTATTTGACACCTACTAGTTACTAGTTATTTTACAAATAAAGATGCTTGCATACAAAACATAATAAGATCTTATACAGTATATATATGACATCTAAAATATATCTAAAACAATTTACAACAGATTAATTGGAAACAACTTTGTTGGTTGTCTGTCATTTAACACACAAAAAAGCTTGCTTTGCTTTATGCCTTTGTCCAATAGTTGTGAGGTTTGGACTTGTAAAACCAAACGATCAATCAATGAACATAGAAAATAATCATGAGCTTAACCCTTGTGTTGTGTTCGAAAGCTGTTACCGTTCATGGTGTTCGCGGGTCAATTTTGACCCATGATTTACCTCAGAAAAACACTAAAAAATAATGACTCTCATCCAATATTGTTTTAACTACATCATAACTAACTTATAATGCATTCATAACCGTACAATCCTGTTGTAATTTTATTTTATGGCCCCAAAACACACCACATATTGCACATGTGCATGTGTGTGTTCAGGTTCAAGGGTTTGTGTACATATTCTTTGTGAAAGGTTGAGTTCCCGTGGGGGGGAGGGATGGGCAACCAGGTGCATGTTGTGAAATAATTATTGTTACAGTGGATGAAGGGGGTGGGGTTGGGGTGTCTAAAGTCAAAGATTAATCTTGATTGGGCCAAATTTTCCCCAGAGTCACCCACAACAATTCTGCTGTGTCTTCCCAGACCTGAACACCAAATTATACACTTTTTTTTTTTAAGAGACCTTCAGACTTGGCTAAAATTGTCAAAATCTGTTTTGTAGTGTTTATATAGCTGTTGTGGAGGATATCATCTGCAGGTCTCCCTTGAAAAAGAGATCGATTATCTCAATTGGACCACCTTAAATAAAGGTTTGAAATCATGAAGCCTCGTTCCGATAAAAAAACTAGAGCGTAGTTATTATATAATTGTACCTTGATACGGGTCACCGGAGACCCAAACACAACATAAGGGTTCATCCATAATGAAAATAATCAACAGTTGCAGCCTTAAATAAAATTGCTCAAAATCTAAAAATTACTAAAGTGATGGTTACACATTAATGAATGAGATGATAACAATACAATGATATCAAATTGTAATACCGGAAGTACATTTTAGTTACTATACCTACGCACTTTTACTTAAGTAACATGCTCAATTCAGGGCTGAGTATTTGTAAAGTATGCATTAGTTATTTTACTTTAGTAAAATATATGGGTATTTTATCCATCACCTCCTTGGTTGATCTGATTTGGTTTTCTCTCCCAGAAGGTGACCAGAAAAGGAGGACATTTGAGAAAATCAACCGGGGAAACAACCGGGGAATCAACCGGGGAAACAACCTGTATGCAGAAAGAGTTCCCCGTGTTCTCGTTACTGAATTGTGGCGCCACGTCGTATTGGAGGCCACAGTCGTCTGCGATTGTGGTGGGGCTGTTGTGTCTGAGCAGTGTGGTGGCAGAGGGGACAGTGGCTCTCACTTCCAGCATCTCATGTCCAGCTACAGATACATCCACAGGCAACACCACGTAGGCCTGCACAAAGCTTTCTCCAATGTTGCACTTGAGCTGCGTAGACCAACAGTATTCCCCGGGGTCTCCTAGGAAGAGAGACTCATTTATGAAGGGCTATACACATCGGATGTGCCACATAAAACAGTCAGACAGCGATGGTCTGACATAAGAAGACCACCTGCACTACTGATATCTGTCTGCACATTTAGTCAAGGACAGTTGAAATTGTAACTGAGAGATGCCTTACCTTCTGTGCAATATGAGAGCCGTATGTTATGGTTGTCCTCAAGTTGAAGTTTCCTATGGTAGGTCATCTGAGTGCACTCGATCAAACAGTTTGATAAGGGTCTCTTGGGCAGCAGTTTCACCAACCCTTCCCTCTCTGAACAATGAGCTGCCCCTTCAGCCAGCAGAAAGGGGGACAGTATGCCAAAAAACACCCACAAAGTGAAATATGTTGACATTCTGTCCAGTATCAATAAAACATCCAATTGCTGTCAATGTTGAGCGATTGGTCCAGATCTTCTCGTCCTATTGTGGGATAGTTGTTGTCCTGGATCAATATATTGCTTGCACAACCTGACAACCATAGGATAAGATTCAACTTCAGCCAGGAAAAAACTTTGCATGCACAGCAGCTATAAACGTTCAAGACTTTCAGAACTGCGCAACATGCTGCTCTTACACTGAAATGAGGAGGGTTTCCTGGAGCGCAGTGCCTATCCTCCAGGTTATTTTCCTCCCTCTAGACTTGAAATGTGAAACACCTAAAGGCTGGACTAAGGAACTGCTTTACCAAAATAGTAATCAAGAGTTATAGTCCATAATAAATGTTTGCAGGAAAAACAGCTGAGAGCAAAACATTTTTGATTTGAATCATCTTTATTCAAAAGTTTGTAAGCAAAAAATCAGGAAATTGGTACAAATGATTAGCATGCTATAGCAGTTTCATTAGCAAAATACAATATTTTGTACGAGATCTAAATACAAGTTATGGTGCTATGTCAATATAATAAGTAATAGTTGAAAAATAAAATAAAGTACATGGTGAGGTAATTTTGTAAAGTCAGCAGTAGACAAAAGCTTAACAAAATGATAAACTGAGAACTATAGCAAGTTACAGGCATATGAGGGAAAACAAGAACTCTGCTGTAAAAAATGTATATAAGAGGACATTTATTTAAATCAAACAACATTCTTTGGGTTCATTTATGAAAAAAAGAAGGGAAAAACTGCTTTGGGTCAAAACTATGATCTAATGGCATATCTCAAAGAAGGTTATGTCAAGAAAAAATTGTTTGATTTTTTTTTAATGTCATTTTTATACCTAATTATGATTCATTCCAAAAGTGAATGTTTTTTGGTGGTTGCAATGGGGCATTGTTGCTTTCTGCAAGTTGAAAGGGCTAAAAGAAAGCACCATACAGAAGATGTCCCTACTCAGGAAAAATTGATATGAAATGTGATTGTGAATTGTTGTCATATATATGTATATTATTATTATTTTTATATGCCTTTTGAATTAAATTGCCCAAGAAAGGAGTCGTTCACAGATGGGGGGAAACAACTGGTATGAGTAAGGATTTGGCTCTGTACAGTCTCACATTTTTGTTAGGAACACTCTGTAATAGTTAGCAGCTTTAAATAGTGCTCTTCACCCATGAGATGTATTTAAAGATTAGCTGGCAGTGTTTCGCCTCCAGCTCTCTGCAGCTCTTGGCGCAAGAGAAATAGTTGGGCTTATCTACAGAAATGCATTTTTGATGGGTCTGCAGTATCATTATTATCATCATCATAATAATCATTGGCAGTTAACCTCTAAAATAAAAAAATGATCAGATTTGTGCTGGCACATTCTTGTTTGAAAGGAGAAACAGGAATGCAAAACTGAGAGAGACTTTGCTTTGGTTCCCACACTCGGTGCTGAATACACACTGAAAGGATCTAAGATAAGTCTATAGAGAGAAGATAGGCCTGCATATAATGTATCACTAAGTTTTCTGTATTTTGTGTGTCTGTGTGCACCAGGTGGTTCACATACACAAGACTATAAAACAAACTTTACTTTGTGCCTGGCTGCTGGAGGTTACTAGGCCCACACCCGCAGCTGCTGGCCAGCTGCACGGAGGAGATGACGAGGGTGCTGAACTCATCCACATAGAGAACAGGCACCATTTGGAGGGAGGTGGGCTGACAACATGGCACCTGGAGAGAAAAAAAGAGAGGAGGAGTTAAAGAGGTTATGTTGGATAACACAGTTTGAACAAAAAAGGACGTTAAGAACGTGTGAATATTTATATTCTTGATAGAAATGCAAAAAAGTGGTGCATGCTATGGTGGACGTGTTACACATAAAGTACAGAAATAAAAAAGTGTAGAAAAATTAAATATAAAATAACAAATTACAAATTAGTTTCCAAACAGTTTCATTTAAAAGATGCAGTCTAGATCTTAGTTGTATTTTTTCTTTTGCAAAGTTATTTATAAGATCGCATAAAGATGGTACACAACGTTATGTTTCCTTAGCACGTACACTGCATTCATTTCTGATTGACCAAAGTTTTGGGAGTGTCTCAGCTTGAATTTGGTTCATTTGTATATTTGTGTTGGCAGAGTGAGAGAACAGGCTTATCTATTGGCAGCTGTTTTGCCTCCTGAGCAAACACAGGCAAACTATTTGGTGTTTGTAGCTCCAATGTAACTTAGGCAAAGAGGTGAAAAAAGACATGTAGGACTGTAGAAGAGGAAGCAAGTACAATAAACAAAGCTATACATTTAACAGTAAAACATAAGGTAATTGGGGTTGGAGGACATTTATTTCACTGTTCTAATATAGAGAATTATACCTGAGTGGTTTGGGATGGTGGACATTGCACAGGGTGCCCTGCGGGGTTGCAGAGTGCACACTTGACGATGGTCAGGCTGGCAGGATGGATAATCCAGTTTTCCCAGCCCAGATCTGAAACACATAATAATGGACATTTTAGTACATGCATTTATATATTTTTGCATGTCAATTTGCATGCATACATGAACACATGCACACATTGGTGCATACCTTTCATGAAGATCTCAGAGGCCATGGAACAGCACTTCAGGTCTGTACTGTTTCCACCATCAGGGGACACGGAGTTGCCAGAGGCCACTGGAACTGTAAGGACAAAAAAACGTTCAATTCAGTTTGAATGTGAAAACCTCTTAAGATTAAATTAAAGCTGTACAAAATGTGGGCTCGACAAAGGTTTCTTCAAAGTGTTTGGGTGTTACATACCACCATTGTCCTTCACTCTGTGAGCAATAGAGCCGAAGGTGGTCCTCCATTTCTCTCCGATACCGTCCAGCCCACCAGCAGGCAGCTGTGGCTCAGCCTGCAAGTTGAGGCCCTCGAGGAGACTCTGTCTGATTGACTGCAATGACCCCCCCGAGCATCTAAACATCATATAAAAGGTTACATTTACATTTGCATTAAAAAGGATTACACAGAAAAATTGAAGAAATGCTCTACATGACAACAAATAAGTATTGTGTTAACAATCCAATCAAGACTAAACAAGTGTAGTTGTGAGCAGCTGCACATGCCAGACATGTACTCTCTCAATAACCTCAATAGCTCTGGGACTATTTTCTTAGGCATACACAAATTCCTCTGTGGAAGAGTAATTTATGACACTACTGAAGCTTAACTGCAACAGCATGTTACAGCTCTGCAAATTCCTAGAAATAGATCAAAATGATGTATTTTCCCCTGAGAACTACTCAGCACGGACACATCATGGATATGTTATCTGTTAAGCAAGTCTGCAGCACTGAGGCTATTCAAAATATGTATTAACCTCTACGACCTGACAAGGTAAGGGGAGATATAGCAGGTCCACAGTATACGTCACAAGGAATTTGATACACAGATTTGATGCAAAATGAAACACATTCTAACATTTGAGACTGAAAAAATTACTTCAAAATAACACTTTAACACCCCAAGACCTTTTGGAACACTAGTAAGAGGACAACTGTGACTTGGTATCAAAAACGTTCTGCATGAATTCTGATTAGCGATTGGATGGGGAGCATTTTTTTTTGTTTAAAGAGAAATGCTCAGAAGCCTACTTAATGGCTACATATCAATGAAAGCCATATATTCTATGAATGCCCAAGTGTTGTAGTTTGTAGTTGTAATGTTTCAAGAGGCTGTAGTTTCATAAAAAGCTGATTTTGTAAAGCAAGGTCAAGCTTAAAAAACTACAGTGAAATGAGGACTAACATCATAAAGAGTCTCAGATGTATTAAGTCATACCCAATATATGCAATTCACCTTCATTGGGACCCCAGCATGCAGACATATTCAATTACACCATTTTTAGACTAATATAACACATTCATAATGCATATTTGAGGGTTTCTATAGAACCAACTTTCATTCAGATATCAGTGTATCAAATGAACCCCTCTGAATAGGGGCCTGCAATCTATAATAAAATGGATACACTACACAGCAAACAAAAGCGTAATATTATTTAAGTACCAAAACACTGTAAAAATGTGCTCCTGAAATAAAACATTTACCAATAGCGCTCTTATAAATCAAACATATTGCACTTTAGAGACAGGGAACAGATAGGTTGGTACTGACCTGTGCTGCGAGACAGGAGAGTTCGCAGGGGCAGCAGAAACTTCCTCGGATGGCAGCAAGACAAATGCAAACACCATTGAAGAGCACAGGAGCATCGTCATGACAGTAAACGTAAAGGACATGGTGTATGGGCCGGATGGTCAATCTTTTGGATCAACTGCTCTCAAATTTGGACTTGCGGCCGACTACGGTTGACTCTGGTTGGAAGAGAAGATAGGAGTGACCAGACAGTGATGCTGCACGAGGTATTGTTTGTCAGGGCCTGGGAACATGGGTTTTTATCTTCCTGTACCAAAGCTTGGCCTTGAGATATTTCACATTGTTGTCTTGTCCCTGTGTGAAAGAGATCAGTTCAGTTATTTCTTCCAGACATGAAATACTGGATGTGATTTCTTAGGGAGGATTTGAAATCAAGAATATGGTTTTGCCTACACAAAGTAAAAGATGCAAAAACATCTTCAAATAGTCAGTGAATAAACGTTCACATATTCCCCAGTGAACATATTCTTTTTTTAAACTTCTTTCAACAAAAAAAGGTTAATTGGGCCTTCTGATGCCACTCATAGTGTATTGTACATGTTTAAACCATATTATTCCACACTACCAGTATCATACATGCTCAACTATCCATCTCTATGAGAGTAAAGAGCAAAACACGAGGCTGAGTTGAGAGGCAAGCAAGGAACGGTAGTTTAAAGTCGTTAAGGCCCCTTTAATCAGAGACTACTAACTCACTGTGGACTAAACTGGGTCACAGCAATATTTGCATGGTGCACCAAAGAACACGGTTTTACTGCTGGAGGGTACAACCAATCATAATAGGCAGTGCCACAGGAATTGTTGGTACAGGCTGATACAAGACATGGCAATACTCTTGCAGTCAGTGTGAAATAACAGGCATAATAACACAAGTATGCCATGTGTTCTTGCACAAGACCTCCTACAGGTCTAAACAACACTGTGAAGATTTGAGCTCTGAAATGATCATCAGGTCTCAACAATGGTGATAAATTGACAATATTTAAAAATAAAGTCTTAGAGGATAACTCCGGGGATATTTCATATATTTCTATATCTATATCAGCTGTTACATCAAATTATTTCTGATGGCCCATAAGGCAGCCATCTTTGTGTCTTGTATCAGAGAGTTTTTATAGGTTTTTAAGGTGTTTTACACAAAATCATTTTTCTTTTTACGTCAATTTAAATAATAAATAATTTGATCCATCTATCTTTCTAACTAGCTATAGATTGTATAGAATATATATATATATTAAACAGATAAATATATATTTATCGCAAATCTTCAATTTGTTTATGTTTTGTTGTGTAGCTGTTAAGCCTGCTCATAATGTGTTTTATCAGGAGGCAGCAGTTTGGTTTAGTTTTCACTGTGAAGTTGTTTTTTTTATGGATTTATGTCATGTTTCTGTTAATACAAACCAAAAACAAATGTATTTTTTTTTTTATGGGATTTTTTTTCACTAACAAAAATGTGCAAAATTGTCGGTTGTTCTTATAATAACGCATTGGTCGCCTTAGGTCACTGTGGAATATTGCAGTTTTCGACCACCTATACATGAGCGGAGTCCTTGAGTATCAGACGTCTCCCACAATGTCCTTGTTCTACTACAGCAGGGAGTCACACCACCGCAGCTGCTGCTGCTGGCTGTGATCATAGAGGTCTTTATAAATAGGCCAAGGGCTAGGGAGGAAGCACCATGCAGAGGACATTCTTGGGATGAATCTCAACAAAACATTATTAAAAATGTGGCAGGATTTGGTGTAGCGAGATAGAAAGCTACATTACAGGAGATTCATTCTGTGGGAAATATTGCTATTAAGATTTAATTTGTGCCCGACAAGACTTGAACATAATGACTGTGGATAGACAGAACACCTGCTGCAACAATTCAATTCAATAGACTCATTGTACAGCACCCAAATGATTAGTTTATGGAATCTCATAATTGGAAGCGGTATTGTTTAATGTCTTGTCCAATAATGTTACATTTACAATCCTTCAACCTTGATTGGTGTGTTCTACTTGTTGTATGACTGCTTCACTTACATGCATAGTGAGGAAAGTAAAAGAAGGACTGTTTCTGTTTTTTATTTTATTTGATAATTTTGTGTCTATATTTGTACGAGTTGTATTGAATATAAAGGGTGCTATGACTAGTACTATGATATATTTAATGTTAAAGTCTATCTATCCAGGCTAGCCAAGGCCAATTAACCACTAATGGAGATACATTGATGTTCATTATTCATTAGTCACAGGGAGGACACATGTCTTGCATCAAGGCCAAGATTTAAAAACCGATACTGCCCTTTATCAGAGCCATCATCCGTTTACTCAGCGTACATGACAGCCGTAGTAATGTTTAATCCTAATCCACTTGCATCTTGTTTTGTGTGATCACAGGGCACAGGACACTTGGCTTTGATATTTACAAGACTTGAGCCAATGTGTGTGTTGGTGGACGAGAGTGTGTATCTTCAAGAGGGGAAATCTAACTACAACATTACAGACAGTGGGACCTGTGTTGCTGGGCCTTGGAAATGAATGGAGTGATAACACATGCTACATATCTGCCTTTTCTCTTCTTTAAACAAATATAATTTGGCTGGCTGGTTTGGGGCATACAAAATGGAAAGTTTTATTTCAAGGTCCAGAAGAAGTGAGGGGGATATTGAAAGAAAGGTAACGTGAACAGGTAAGGGTTTTTTCGGCCAGTCTGGTGCTTTTTCTTTTATTTCTACTGTTGATTGCTCTATTTAAAAAAGTTTGGGAAACATTACTTAAACTTGAAATGCTGAAGTGTGTATTCCATGCAAACATTTGCCATTATGTTTTAAAACATCGAGTATTTGTGTCTTTTTCCATTTGCTTTACTCCTAACTGTTAACTTGATTGTCCAATTGATTTATTACAAAAATCTGTAGTGAAACAGATGAAACAGGGAAATGTGTTTTGTTGTTTATAAAAGTTTATTATTTCATTATTTCGCAGCTTGCAAAACACAAGGTCAGACATTTCACACTCACACATGAAAGTATATTTTTCTTTGACAGTGAAAACAGCACAGGATCATGGGATGTGGTCTGGGAAAGTCTGAACCACTGCTGACAAAATGTCACAAAGGTGCTGCCTTTATTATTCCAGTGAAATTCCAGAGTCAAATGTACCTTTTTACGCAATAATTTAATGCTATTTTTCATTTTTAGAGTCCATCTCAGTTCCAGGTAAATATATGTTTACTCCATCACATATTTACACAAAAGTCTCAACAAACAATTTTAACTCGCTTTTCTACTCAATTTGTATGCACTCTGTGAAGCTGCCACTGGTAAGTCTTACAGAATGGATCAAACTTAGTATATGAATGTGTTCATAGTGGAAGAGGAAGGTTACCTCAGCATGGTTATGTCCGAGTGCTTCCGTCTTGTCTCCTAATCTGCAGCGATCAGTGCGGCTCTGTTAATCCAGCGCTGGTACCGTCAGCATGTTGCACGGCTGGAGATGAGACGCAGGTGCACGTGGAACATCTTCCAGTCTATCGAATATGCAGGAGAGCAAGACCAGATCAAGGTGAGCACTGACAGAACTCGTCTTACCCACCAACATTTAGAAGCCTTGTGGATGGCAACATCAGGCTGTCGGTAAGAAATATACATTTTAAATATTGGATGTACTGCCATTACATTTTAAAACAGACATTCATGGACCCAAGAGGATAGTTCTTACCAACGTTGTGATCTCCAGACCTTCCAGCACCACCATGAGGCTGACATTTGTGGTTCAGAGTGAAACATATATCAATTTGATTGAAAAATAATAATCATTACAAGATGGATGGCTGAGATATTCCGCATCCATGGTCCATCTGGGATTTATTACAATAACCTTAGTGGCCCCAACATTTTTATCTAAAATGTCATTTTTTCCAGTACTTTGATTTGACAATTTCAAAATAAGACATTTAACAACATGTATTTTTTCTTCCTGCAGCTCTACAATTACTTTGGCTTCTTGATGGACCACTTCACCCCAGCCAGCAGTGAAAGTAAAACAGACCTCAACTCTTCACTGATGCAGAGTAGGTTTCATTAGATTACTGACAGTCAGATAATCTGAGTTTAACCAGTCTACTATCTGCTGAGAAACATAATGTGGGTTTGCCCTTACTTTTTCACTTCCTCTCTACACCTTTACCATAGGAAACCTTATATCCCACATATTTCGTAAGAATGAAATCTGTCTTGACACAGAGTGGGAGAGATATTTTTGCTACAAGAGCATTGAGGTGACAAAAAGCTACACAGGCCCCCATCTGACGTTCCCCGTGACGTTCTGTGGGGTGTCAAAGCTGGTGGAGGCCTTCAAGCACAAAGAAGTAAGTACATGAGTATATCCCCAAAGGTGTTCAATCCAAGGTTTGCTTTTTCTCCTCTGTGCTCGGTTTATACACACTTTCTTTGTTTTCTAGTAGCAGCTTCATGCTCGATATGTTCTGCAGCTTCTTGGAGAGACTTGGAGACTTCTGAGAACTTTCCCCAACATCAGTCACGTCATCGCCTGCCATACAAAGCCCATTACCATATGCGGTACTCAACAGCAGGCCTTTCCTGTATATATTGTTCTCAGATCTTTTCTCCCACATTATTTTCTTAACGTTCTTGAGCATAAAGTTACACTGTAACAAATATGAATTCATTATTTATCTCTTTCCCAGGGGATCTACACGGGCACCTTGAAGACCTGTTGTTGATATTCTACAAGGTACTCATTACATTCAATTAATCAAATTGTCAGACAGAGATGTTCATTTCAACACCTTACTCTCTCTAATCATACTAATCCAAAGTGCCTTTAATTGCTCTTGTATAGACCATTCTCGTATAGCAGTGATTCTCAAATGGGGGTACGCGGACCCCTAAGGGTACGTTGGGGTACTGCAGGGGGTACGTGAGATTTAAAAAAAAAAGTTAATTAAAAAAATACCATGCATGATTACAAAAATAATCTTAGTATAATAAGTTAAATAGAAAACACAATTTTATATAAAATATTCCTAGAACCACCAAGGGGGTCCTCATATAAACATGTCAAATTTGTGTATTGTATTTTATAGTTTTGCATAATATATCATTGTGTTCATTGGTTTGTTAAACAGATATTACTTCAGTTGAAAAACTCCTTTGAAAAATCAATTATGTCGTTATGTTCTTTTTTTTCATGCATAAAATGAAAATATCCTTAGTTTGTTGTAAAGGAGTTAATAAATCAGGGAACATCACTATATTGGAATTATTTGTATAGGCTTTTTTTTCGATCAAAAATGTTCGGGGTCGGTCAGGGGGTACTTGGCTGAGAAAATGTTTCAAAGGGGGTACATTACTGAAAAAAGTTTGAGAAGCGTATAGTATAGTTTCTACTCTTCTACTAGTATTAACCTCCTATTTTGATTATTCTTGTTCATATTTTGGTTCTGTATTTCTCTGTACTTATTTCTGGTTTTCTGCTGCATCACCACACATTTTGTTATACTTAATAAAAGGTGTCATCTTATTGTACCCCTTTCAGAACGGTTTGCCGTCCTCTGATAAACCATATGTTTTTAATGGAGACTTTGTGGATCGTGGTAAAAACTCTTTAGAGATTCTTCTCACCCTATTCGGCTTCCTGCTGGTCTACCCCAATGACGTCCATCTGAACAGAGGGAACCATGAGGACCACATTGTTAATCTGAGGTTCGAGGCCAATCACAAAATGCTCACACTGTATATGGTTTCATTCTTATTATATTCAACCTACAGCTGGTGTGTATACTAACCTAGTTGTTTAATGTGTGTTTTCTTCAGATATGGCTTCACTAAAGAAGTTTTGGGAAAATACAGCGTAGGTTTTGTTTGATTTGCATTCAACTCAACGTATTGTCCTATTTTGTTGTACTAAGACGATTTAAAACCCTTGGGGACATGTTGCATCATCATGATGTAGTTTGACTCAGTTAGTCCAATGCCTGCTTGCGTATTAACTCACATAATACCAAATGTCTATTAATCCACAACTGGAAATAGTGAATACACTTTTACTCCTGTTTTAGTCTGCAACTGAATGTGCCCAAATGAATAAAATAATGAGTTCATATTAAGAACTCACTTTATGGCTCGCTTTGTTCTGCAGGTGCATGGCAAGAAGATCCTAAAGCTCCTCCAGATGATTTTCAGCTGGCTACCTTTGGCCACAGTGATTGATAACAAAGTGCTGATTGTTCACGGTGGGATCTCTGACACCACAGACCTTGACAAGATAGCTAGAGTGGACAGACAAAAAGTAAGATGGCTTCAGGGATAATAACATTTGTGTATGTGGGGCAATTTACAGGCAGCAAATGAAGAATTGTTATCATGATCATCATACCAAGGGTCTGTGTATTTTTGAATGTTTGCAGTATGCATCGGCTCTCAGGCCTCCTAAAATGAAAGTCCATGGCTGTATGACTAAGATGAACGAAAACAGGGAAAGAGAGGCCTGTGGTCAGGTGGAAGGCCGGCGTCGAGTGTGTTCTCTGACTTACCACAGCTCGGCCCCGGATCACAGGCACGACCTCCCACGCCGCTCGCTCAACAACACCCCTGTGTGCAGTAAGTTAGACTTGTCGGTGGATGAGAAGCTAAATAGCAGGTGCAGGCTGTCTGGGTTTGATCAGGCCAGATGTGAACTGAAGAAGTCTGACTCATACCTGGAGTCTAAAACAACAGAGACAGATTTGGATGAGTGGAAACAAGTAAGTGGTCTCAGTGGTTGTTAATGTTTTGGCAGATGTTCAACATGTAGTATTGCTCCATAATGCACACATGTTATTATTTCACTGACTTTTTTACTGATTAATTTGGCTTCCCAGATAGTGGATGTATTGTGGAGTGACCCAATGCCTCAAAATGGATGCATTCCCAATGAGGTGCGAGGCGGAGGCTGCTACTGGGGGCCAGATGTCACTGAGGAGGTGCTGCGAAGAAACAACCTGCAGCTCCTCATCCGCTCCCACGAGTGCAAACAGGACGGATACGAGTTCTGCCACAACCGCAGGGTGAGCACGAAGACACACAAGAAAGAGTTTAAGTTGCAATACTGACGATGGGAACAGGTACTTTTGTATGGAAGCCCATAAAGGACTCTATTAAATGGTAAATGTTGATTTGAATTTATTTAAAACATTACAACTTTCCACGTGTTAAAACATAGTTTTTCCTTTTTCAAAGATGTAATTAGCATTTACTCAAAACACAAATATTTGTAATGTGGTAATTGAACACCAAAATGAGTACGGGGCAACATTTATGTTGAATTATTTACTGAAATACAACATAAATATACGGAAATTAGAGTGGAATTAGATTTTAAAATGATACTTTCATCAAATCCACTTTGTGCTTCCGTACTTTTAGGTTTTGAGTAGCTTTGTTGAGTATGACAGGAGATGAAAAACAGGAAATTAAGAAAAAAGTACAAAATGACGGTTGTGCGGTTGTTTTTCCATTTAATTAAACATTTAATCTGAAAGCAATTAGAAATTAGTGATTAACAAACAGCATATCTCTACACGTTTACTATTCATGTTAAGACTTACGGTATTGACTCTTATGTTGCATTTAGGTGATTACTATATTTTCAGCGTCTAATTACTACGAGGTGGGCAGCAACAGAGGCGCCTTCATCAGAATGGGACCTGACCTGGTCCCCCACTTCATTCAGTATCAGGCCAGCACCACATGCAGAGAGCTCACCCTGAGACAAAGGTACAAAGACAGGGCAGCACAGACATCAGAATGACAGAACTGCATTTTTAATACTTTCCGTCGAGTGATATTACAGCAGTTTCCTCCGGAGGTGGTTGTGATTGCCAAGAAGCCTTAGCAGTATCGCCCTGTACGCAGGGCTGGACTGGCCATCTGGCATACCGGGCATTTTCCCGGTGGGCCGACGTGCCTTTTGGGCCGACACGTCATTTTTTTTTTCTTCTGAAGTTCCGGCCCATAAGACGGGTAGATTGGCCTTTCTGTTTAAATGTTTTTAGTAATTGACACTGGGCAGGGGCGGATCTACGGGGGGGAAGCTGCCCCCCCCACTGTAGAGCCTTGCCCCCCCAGCTGCCCCCCTAACTTTTGTTTCCCTAAAACTGTACTAAAACAAACCTACACTATTTCCACAAGCTTCTCAAGCAACAAAACAAGCATTACATTAGTTAAAAGTGAATAATTTTAAATATAATTTTAGGCCCGTTAAAAACGCAGCTACGGCCCTGCATTAAACTGCGGAGTGGCGTTCACACAGACCGCGGCTCATACCGCTGCAGAGAGGGAGCGAGCTGTCCCAGCACCTATGGTTCAGCTTCCCCTGGGAGCATTTCCCTTTCCACTAGTTTTGTTTTTACTAAGGACGAGAGCTTGAAACTAAATATTAATAAAACGCTGCAGTTTGAATCGATAGCGTTTAACAGACGGGCGCTGTTTGGGGCGTTACGTTACAAAATACTACGCAGACAGCGTTAGCTGGGAGATCGATCACTTTGATAAACTACGCGGTAGCCTCCTATTAAATCCACGTAAACTACACATCACAGCAATGAGGCCAGATCAATGAACCCAGGATACATCCTTTACTGTAAAAACTGGATCCAAGCACAGCTGCCTGTGTGCGCTTGATCAATACTTTCTGATGTTATATGATATGCTACATATTAGCTAGGCTACATGGCCCTAACGCGTAAAGTTATACAAGCATTTGTACCAGTGCTTTTCACAAGTAGACTCTTGCAGGCCAGAGTATAGGAGTGATTCAACAACAACACAAAGACATATGAGAAGTGATCAGGACGAACAGAAAGAGGAAAAGGAAAAGAGAGTTCACTGAAGAGACCAGGAGGGTCAGAGCAGGAGGAAGAGGAGGAGATGAAGAGACCAGGAGGGTCAGAGCAGGAGGAGGAGATGAAGACATTAGTGAAGAAGAAGAAATGTATGTGAGGAATAAAGATGAAGTGTCAGAAAGAGGGCCAGAGGCAGGGATCAGGAGGCAGATGAAACTCCAGCTGGACCACATGGTATGTTCTTATTCTCCTTACATATTCCATCACAGCAGCACAATCTAGCAGCTCTTAGTATTGACAAATAATGATTGAAATGTGTTGCTGCACAGGTCACCTTCAGCTCTCTGAAGAGATGGGTGATGTAATTTGTGTACTTAATTATAAATTGAAATGTTGAGTTTGTCAATCTTAATCTGAAAATACAAAAACTGAAATATAGGTAAGAGAAGAAACGGACACTTTTATGATGTAATTCCCTCAATGCAGATCACACATGGACTGATCCATTATTTTAATAGGAGGGTAAATGGTATGGCGTGACGGGGTTGAAACAAACTGAGGGACAATATTGCAATTTCATAGATAATTCAAGTATTCTTTCAGAATTTATTTTTGATCAGTTAAAGTTGACAAGCATATGATTATATTAGCAGCAACATTTTGGGATAATTGGCCATTTTGATTGGTTTGATATTAAATTAATATGTAATAATGCTTAGTGAGGACATGCAAATATGTCTGTCTAATACTAAGAAAACCAATTTTTTTAAAACAAAATATATATTTAATTTTACATTGTAATGCAAAAAAAACCTGTTCCATTAATTCATTGCTTTAAAATACATTTTGTAGTTTCCTTTCATTTAAAATGGTTGAGGTAAGCTTGGGGGACTCAAAGGGCACCCGATTGTTTGTCTGAACACCTTGTTTCTCTTGTGCATTAAGAACACTTGTGTTAGGGCATGAATTAACAATAAATAGGTTATATACAGTATAAAATACCACGTACTGTCCGCCCTCCCATGCCACCCTGGCATGACCTCTTGCCCCCCCTTTGCCCCCCCATGTAAAATGTTCTAGAACCGCCACTGACACTGGGCCGGCTCAATCAAATCTTTAATCACCTCCCCCTTTGGCCGCTCGGTGTGCATCATTAAATCACGCCCCCAGGAGGTGAGCCGGTGTTGTGCCGTAGATTGAAGCCTTGCCGTAGATTGAAGCCCTGTTCGCGGGGACGCGCAAACGTGACGTCATCGCCTGTATTGATCCCTACATGTTTGTATTGTAATGCCACTCATATTTTTTTTTAATTGTATTTAGGTGACATTGAATGCTTTGAAAGGTGCCCTAAAATAAAGTGTATTATTGGTGTCAATAGGGAAGATCTGCACTGTTCTCTACATAACATGTTCAGAGCAGGTATTTCTCCTGCCGGATTTGGAACCCCCCCTATATCTTTCTCCAGGATATCATTCAAAAGAGAGAAAAAAGCTTTGAAAAGGGTGAAAAAACGGCGAACGCTCAATACAGGCGATGACGTCACCTTTGCGCATAACAGGTGTCACCGGTGTTATGCCGTAGGTTGAAGCCTTGCCGTGGATTGAAGCCCTGTTCGCGGGGACGCGCAAAGGTGACGTCATCGCCTGTAGCGTTCGCCGTTTTCTAAGCTTTTTTCTCTCTTTTGAGTGATATATCAGATTAAACAGCAAACGGCTGAATAAATAATCTGCATACAATTGCGAGGAGGCTCGTTTTAAGGACACGTTTTTCAGATCTGTCACAATCTTCGTATTGGAATAAACTTACGTTTTTGAGTGTATAGTCCCACTCTGTTATATTCCTCCTTCCTACAGAACAGACAATGACAGGATAATATGTGATTTGTCAGTAGGCCTATAGTCCTATTTCTTAAAACCTTCTCTGTTGTTTAAGTGTCTGATAACCACGAATAGTAAGCAATGATATAACAGTAATTATATCACATATATGATCATGTCAGACACTGTGTTATTTTCAATCAAGCCTAAAAGATCAATAATACACTTTATTTTAGGGCACCTTTCAAAGCATTCAATGTCACCTTAAAATACAATAAAAAATAAAATATGAGTGGCATTACAATACAAACATGTGTTGAGTAGGAAACCACAGAGGAAAATTACAAAGGAGCAATTAAAGCGAGTGAAGCCAGTTTGAACACATTATCTTTTAGGCTTGCTTGAAAATAACACAGTGTCTGACATATGTTATATCATTACTGTCATATAATTGCTTACTATTCGTGGTTATCAGACACTTAAACAACAGAGAAGGTTTTAAGAAATAGGACTATACTGGCAAATGACATATTATCCTGTCATTGTCTGTTCTGTAGGAAGGAGGAACATAGCAGAGTGGGACTGCACTCAAAAACGGAAGTTTGTTCCAATACGAAGATTGTGACTATCTGAAAAGTGTCCTTAAAACGAGCCTCCTCGCAATTGTATGCAGATTATTTATTCAGCCGTTTGCTGTTTAATATATCATTCAAAAGAGAGAGAAAAGCTTATTAAACTAGACGAACGCTCAATACAGGCGATGACGTCACGTTTGCGCGTCCGCCGGCCCAGGGCTTCAATCCACGGCAAGGCTTCAATCTACGGCACAACACCGGCCGTTGAAGCCAAACTGCCTTTTTTTTCGAGAAAAAAAAAAGTTCGAGTTAGAAATGGCGAAGGCGAAGGCCAAGCGAAAAGGGGGAGCAGAAAAATTGCGGGCAAGAAAAAACCAGGCCCTTCGTGCTGATGCTGCCACTTGTGTCAAAATAACCGACATGTTTAGTACAGGTGCAGGTCCATCTTCTTCTAACCCGTGGCCGATATTGGTGGTGAGGAAGATGAGGGAGAGAGATCAGCGCGAGTGGGGAGAGCGTGGAGAACTCGCGGTAAGCAGAAGCTAAGACAATTAGGAAAAGATTATTATTAAGGTTATGATACTCTGTAGTTCTGGAACCCATTAATATCCCTTTGATGAAGCACTAATAAGACAAATATTATAAGAGAAACATTCGTTAGCCTACAAGCTAGTAAGCTGTCTTTTTTAGGTTTTCCCTGGCAAGTTAAAATATAGCTTAATGGGACTCTGATACGTTGTCTCATTGAAAGTTAACCAACATTCATGAACAATTACTGTCAGCTGGCAGCTTGTTTTGTTTAGTTTATTTACTTATTTGGTTATAAGGGCAACAGTGGTCTTTTGGGACCTGAAAAATGTTTGTATAGTCAGCTTTTTGTGGTAGTTTTGATTGACAATATATAGAATGAATCATATAGAAATAGATAAAAGATTGAGGCACACATGTAGTTTTGACCATTAACTGTGTGGTATTGTTATGTCAATGCCTATTTGTATGGACCTCTATCAGGGAATCCATTCATTCTGTATCATTGTGTTGAGCCAGGTAGCATCCCCAGAGGAGGAGAGTGTCAGCGAGAGTGAGGAGAGCAAAGAGCAGGAGGACATAGATTACTTTGCCCGCCCCGAGCCGATCTATGTTACAGATGTTTTTAGAACAGCACCCACAACAACATACCAGAAATCCAGTTGTGCAGAAGGTAAAGATGGCACCAGCAGAAAGTGGCTTACATATTGCAAGGGACGTCATATGTTGTTTTGTTTTGTATGTCTGGCATTTGGGAAGAGGACTGACACTGGCACATTTATAACTGGAATGTCAGATTGGAGGCACGCACACCAGCGTACAGAGGAGCACGAAAAGAGCATTACACATTCAACCTGTGCTGAAGCTTTTTTCTTACGGTGCTCTAAAGCAGACATTGAAAGCATGTTTGCTGGCAGTCAAATGTCTGCTCATAGGGAACAAGTCTGAAAGAGACGTCAGGTTTTGGAGCGTGTGGTGGATGTGGTGAAAGTGCAGGCAGGTGGAGAATGAGGGAGCATATATGCTAGCTGACAACACCGTGGACCACGGTAACTTTTTGGAGCTCATCCTTTTATTAGGAAAGTATGATGTCTGCTTAAAAGAGCATCTGGATGATTGCGTAGAGAAGAGCAAGAAATTGCACCAATCCAGTGGAACAAAAGGTAGAGGGTCTCTCATCACCCTACTCTCCAAAACTACTGTTAACTCCATAATAGAAACTCTAATCAAAGAAAGTATCTCCAGTGATGTCCAGAAGGCCGGAATGTTTTCTGTTCAGCTGGACACAACACAAGACATAACTTCTCAGGATCAGTGTTCAGTAATCTTAAAATATGTCAATGAGACTGTGCAAGAGAGGCTTGTGGCTTTAGTGAAGTGCCATGCATCCACCGGACAATACTTTGTGAACTTGATCTCAGAGGTCTTAGAGCATCTGAAACTGGACAAGGGCATGTGTATAGGTAATGCAACAGATGGAGCATCCAATATGCAAGGCCGGTACAAAGGATTTTCTGCACTGATGACCTCCCAGTCACCCACTCATGTCCATGTGTGGTGCTATGCTCATGTTCTTAATCTTGTCCTGGCTGAAACTACCCAAACTGTCATCGAATGTGGAACACTTTTCAACCTAATCAATGACATAGCAGTGTTTATCAGGGAGTCATATCAGAGGGTCAATCTGTGGGAGAAACAAGCCCAAGAAAAGATGCCGTCGACTCATCCTGTAGACTCATCTGGTCCTATCTCTATTGTGTTGTCATAGAAAGGGAGGCAGGGCACTATAGGGTCCCCCCCCCTAAATTCACTAGAAGTCATCATTTAAGGGGTTATTTTTAAAACTTTTCTTCTGGGGGGGGCATACCCCCCCAGACATTACATTGCATTTAGCTGAGGCTTTTATCCAAAGCGACTTACAATAAGTCCGTTCCACCAGGAAGACACAACCTTGAAGAAAACAGAATCATATAAGTACATCAGGTTTCATAGAGCCAAACATTTCAAGTGCTACTCAACTGGCTTTAGATAAGCCAGTCCTTTATTAGTATATAAGTGCTTTGTTAGTAATTCTATCGCTCGAAGTGGAGTCGAAAGAGATGAGTTTTCAGTCTGGAAGATGTGTAGGCTTTCTGCTGTCCTGATTTCAATGGGGAGCTCATTCCACCATTTTGGAGCCAGGATAGCAAACCCACTTGTTTTTGCTGATGGGAACTTGGGTTGGCCTACCTGCCTGTCAGCCTTCCATCTGTGCACAAACTTATCTCGTGCCCTCATTGGTCATGTGCGCGTTTGTGTGTGTTGGAGGAGTGGCTCTGTAAGGAAGTCTGAAGTTGGTGCATCATGGCATGTGGCTCATTAAAAAATAAGTACAGCTATTATCTCCCTCTTGTATAACTGGTCGGCCCCACCTGCAGCAGGTAAACCAGGGTTGCCAACTCTCACGCATCTAGCGTGTGACACACGCTTTCACTCTCAATCTCACGCTCTCACGCTGCCCAAACTATTCTCACGCCAAAAACAAGATGAACCGGTGATCGTTTTTGGTTGGTTATTTACAATGTTGAGTTGACAGCTGCTCAAGCTGTTGATCCGCTCCCTCCCCGCCTCCACCACCATCAGACCCCCCTGCTCGGTCACTGTTCGCTTTGTGAGAGGGTTTGAAGGTCTAATTTCTAATGATTGATAGTTACACATACTTGTTGTATGTATTAGTTTAGTTTTTCCCTGGTACGTAAAAAGGATAATAATAGCGTTTTTTAAAAATTATACTGAGTTATTCTTCTTGTCAGGAACCGCTACTATTCGTTTGTTTTATGGATTTGGGCCGGTCTGGGTCTAAATGCCAGGGCCGATTTGCTGTCCCAGTCCAGCCCTGCCTGTACGGGAACAACACAGAACTCCATCTTTCCCTGAAGTCCCTGTAGGACTTGACTCGAGCCATACAGGTAATAATATATAAGGACTCCAATGACCCCAAGGAGGCACAGGCAGGGGTGGAAGTAAAAAGTGGGAGGAAGTGGAGAGCCGACAAAGCTTTTTTGCAAGCAAAGTCTCAGATCCACCACAAAGCAATAGTGGGAACATTGATGCAGGGGAGAGCTGGACTGGGAACCTTCAGAACCCCCCAGTACGACAAGGCCAAGGGAGAAGAGAGGTGCAGGCTGGTACAGGAGGAAGTAAGGGCAGCAGTTGAGGAGGAGCGGACTAGCAGAGCGGTTGGCCTGAGGCAGCAAGGGGCCTGGACGAGGTGGGAGCAGGCCATGGACCGTAAAGTCACATTGACTGATCTTCGACGGGCAGTACCTCAACGAATCAAAGTCCTGGTCCAGGTAGTGTACCATATCTTGTCCAGCCATTCGAACCTCTTCACCTGGGGCAAAGTGGAATACCCGGCATGCCCGCAATGCCCAGGCAAGGGAATGTTGGAGCCCATCCTGAGCAGCTGCCTAGTGGCTCTTTGCCAGGGCCTTGCGCTATGATCAGGTTGTGAAACTCCATCCCAGAGGCCATCGCCAGGGCAAGAGTGTATGATGTCGAAAGAACCGAAACACCCGATAACCCCTGGTTACATCACCGATGATGTGTTCAGGAGCATCAAAAGATGTATTTTTTATTAACATCGCAAAATATTGAGATCGTATGATCACATTATGATCAGTTTATTACCCAGTGATTCCAAGATTTACTGAAAAAAATAATCTTCCTTTTTTTGTCAGTGTTGGGTGGACGGAGAGATCCGCTCTGCAAGCTCTGAGGGAACAACTTTTCGTACATAGGTCTGATCTCATCAGTGCCTTCCAGGAGTTTGATCCTAACAACAAAGGTACTGAGCAGCAGTGATAGATCGTTACACTTTTAGGGCAGTTTCTCTTACCACCACTTAAGTCTGATCCATCAAACTCAAAGCAGGAAAATAACCAAATTGCAGGATTATACGTTGGACAAAGGTTAACAATTGGTAAACCTGATTTGGTAGGACTGACATGGAATTTTTGCAGCAGTCTGATATGTACCTGACATAGGGGACAAAGAGAACATATAAGAGGTTTCTCAATACTCAAATTTCCCCTCCTCGACTCCTATCCTCGACTCCCCTCCTCGAGACTTGGTGCTGCCCACAGGAGATGCGAGCGGAGGACTGAGGAGGGGAACCGAGGAGAGAGGAGGGGAAGCAGCAGGCGGTTAGAGAAATGAGAACTCCTCTCCTCTGAGCGGTCATTTTAAAGAGACGTCCATTAATGATGACAGGAGGCACAGCAGCCCTCTGTCTGATGGACAGATGTGTTCATGACGACTTATATATTTACTTTTAATTCAATCACAGTGCGGTATAATGAGACAATAACAGGCTACAGATGCGGACATATACACACACATATATTTATATAAATATATACAATTTCAGAATCAAACAAGTATGAGAGCACTCTCATAATAACGTAACACAATCAGAGACTGGATATATCCCCCCCCCCCACCCCTCTCTCTGGTCGCTGAAATTGGGAATTGAAATTACGGGCCAAAAGTTGTACAAGTATTAAAAGTAAGCACAGGACACCAAACCAACTGAGACCCGTCTGTCCGCCACATCTACGCACTGTACAACACACACCTACACACTGTACCACACACACACCTACACACTGTACCACACACACCTACTGCTCCTAAAGCATCATCAGGCTACAGCCGTTGTGTATTTTATTATGTGAAGCACTAAATGGTCTTAGAAAAATATCGACTCTTTGTTTGTAGATATCTACTAAACTACAGCAAACAAATACAGAAAGTAATGTAGGCCTGTTATACTGAGTGATATATATTTTACACACTGCTCTGCTTTCTGCACGGACCTCACAGCTGTTCTCACTGTAAACATCGCATTGCGATGAAAGCAGTTACTAATATAATATCCAAGGGATGCATGCAGAGCTGTCATTGGCTGAGATAAGTCCGGCCGTGCGTCACGCCTCCACCGTTCCCGGAAATGCATCCGTGGAGGAGCCGTGGAGGATGCATCAGTGTCTCCTCGGTTAGAGCTCCTCCAGAGAGCATCCTCGACGCTCGGTCCTCGAAGTGCATTTAGAGAAATGAGACGTCCTTCAACATGGCGCGCTGAAATTCATTTCCGGGCCACTACCGGAGGACCGAGGAGTCGAGGAGGGGAAATTTGAGTATTGAGAAACCTCTATAGTGTATGCTAAATAAAATCCCAAAAATAGTGATGATATAAAGACGATCTAGAATGTAGATTTTGTGAGCATAATAGATTACTACTGTCAAGTCAAAGTAAAGAAACTCATTAAGACTAGCCACATGGCCTATGGCTTGTAAAAAAATGCCCTAACACTCAAGAGGAAGCTTATTGTGTTAGTTATTCAAAATGAATTTAACTCTACTGTATATTTCTATCTGTGCCTAAGGGATGATCTCTGTGACACACTGGGCTAGCACCACAGAGAGAGTCCTGAATCTGGGTCTGCCCTGGAGGGTGCTGCGCCCTCAGCTTGTCAGCAGCACCCAGCGTGGCATGATGGACTACCAGCAGTGGATAAAGGAGCTTTCAATCACTGAACCCAAATTAGAGGTCAGCCTTTAAAACTTGTATCCGATATATATCCTTCTTTCTCACCGTTTATGTAAGACTGACACACAGATTAGCAATATTCGTTTCTCCCATTTCAGATCTCAGATAACAGTATCCTGGATACGATGTACAAGAACCACTCCAATCTGGAAACCATTTTCCGGATCATAGACACAGATCATTCAGGTCAGTAAACAGCTTCACTTTGATCCCACTGAAAAGATCATTTTTGTTTTCTCTTGCAGCTTTGACTTCATGAAAGTCAATGATTTGGTATCACTACTCTGGTCCAAACTGAAATATCTCAAGAACTATTGGATGTTCCCAAGAAGATAAAACCCTACTGATTTTGATTGACGCCTGGTTTTCCATCTTGTGTTATCAATCTAGTAGAATACATATATTAATAAATGAGTTTGCATAATCACATTAGCTTTAAGCTCAAATCACCACACCCTCACAGCGTCTTTGTCTTTCTGTCTAAAAGCTGGTCACATTTCACAAATGTCTACAACAGTGGGAAGATAAGTCTTCTGTTTCTAGACTGTAATAAAAGGTCTTTATATAAATCTTAAACTCTCTCACTCTTTGTTCATTCTTCATTAAAACACCTTCCAACTTTAAGTTAATCATCAAAATGCAAGGCATGCAATCACACTAGATATCTATATATGCTACACAAGTTTTTCAACTACATCCTCCTTGTGTTTCCTTTCAGGTTTAATCTCATTCAAGGAGTTTCATCAGACCTGGGAACTCCTGCGCTCTCATCTGAAGACAGAGATTAGTGCCAAGGCTATTGCAGACCTGGCCCAGAGCATCGACTTCAACAAGGACGGGAGCATCGACATCAATGAGTTCCTGGAGGCTTTCAGGCTGGTGGACATATCAGCACATAACTGAGTCTGGACCAGGAGCTGTACCTGCTGCATAGAAAACACCCAGAACCGATTTGGAAAACCTGTGGAAATTCAAATGTTGAGTACTATCATCCATTTGACCTCATGAGATCAACCTACATATGTTCTACATCTTAGATGTTATTTTTTGTAACCTTTTTATCTCACAAATTAGAGTATCCTTAGGATTTATGTTTTTAACTCATGGATCAAGCTGGTCAGAGAAAGTTATGAATGAAAGAAACCTCCCTTATGAGAAGCCAAACAACATTACTATATTTGTCACACCGAGCGATTACTAAAAAAATTAAGTTACCTTTTAGGGCTTTACCGAATAGTTTGAAGCCTCATTCATAATGATGACGTTTAAATTCTAAAACACAATTTTGGTGGATTATTTAATTTTAAACCCAATATTGCTGCACAGTTAAGAGATCAGATTAGGCTACATTAATATTATTCAAAACTATAATTTTTGGATAACATTTCAGTGGTGTCTGCTTAATCTTATGATCCCAACCTTAAAGGAAACAACCTCAAAATGTATTGAATATAGAATATTATAATTTCCAAAAATCAAAAGAACTAGTAAATGAAATATATTCGGTCAAAAACGGTCTGCTCTCCAGCTTGTCATACACAAAGGTTACCCTCAAGATCTTCATTAAAAGAAAGTTGATTTATTGAAAAGACTAACTCATTCAATTGTATGAATATTTTAAGGGTTATAACGTCACAAAACCTTATGTAAGGCCATCAATGCTTCATTTAAAAAACCTTAACAGAAAATGTAAAAGTGATACAAAGGTGATGTTCGGTACAGCCCGACCTTTATATTAAGTTTGCAAGGAAAGGGATGTAGTGAAGAACTTGTTGACAATTTAACTGACATTTATTACAGTCTAACAGCATAAAAAAAGAAATACAAAGTTGTATTTACAATGTATTCAATCACAACACACTCAATCCCACGATTTGTTCACAGGGCAGGCTCAAACAGTCTCATATGCATAATCTGATTAAACATTAGGTAGGCCAGATGTTGTTAGACGATGATGAGTCTTTCCACTCTTTATCAGTTCGGTATAAACCTTCCTTGTTTTGTTGGTACAGATAGTGGGGCCTGATCAAATGCTGATCAAGAGGGTAACTACTACTCCAAATTCAGATCCTCTGTCATGACCTTGTTGCTCCCATGACAAAAAGAATAATATGACTCGTCTTGATGAACGGCAGGACAGCTTTTTATAGGATTTATTTTGAATCAGGGCATGTGTATGAGTGTTGGCAGGGTAGACTCAGCTCAGGATGCTTCCTCTCATGTGTCCACTGTCACTCAGGCCGTGCTCTATGAGTTTAATGTCCTCCAAGTCATCTTTGATGACACTGATCAAATGACTCAACCCGTCCTGCTGCTGCTTTAAGTGCTGAGAGGGACAGACAAGAAAGAAATGTTACCATTTATAACCAACAGGAAAAATAAAACACTTTTGCTTTACTTGGGAACTGTGCTTTCAGAGGTCTGGATTCCACAGTTACAGGGCAAAGACGTTAAAACAAGATGCATTTTGTAAACTCCAGACTCACTTGTTTGATTTCCCTGAGGAGGTCTGCATCAACACTGTATCGCTCTTCTGATCTCACAGCTCCAAAGTGATTCTGCATCCTGATCTGAGACATTAATTAATTCAACCGACCCTGGAAGAGAAAACAACACAAATACTGTAAAATCTCCACCAAAGACTTTGTCCCAAGCGTTGGATTGACAAGCCAAAAATACAACTTGATGGAAATGAAGCTTAAAAGGCAACATGTGTTGTTTATCCCAAGGATGGCCAACAACTCATGACCGCTAATGGTGTCACATTATGCGTTGGCAAAGGCAGTAAAGAGTAATAATGCTTGCTAGCAAACATGGATGTTAACAATGCAGGTTTCAAACTTAAAACAAAAAAACCCTGCATTTTGGGGAGCAACATTGAATGTAACCACTTTAGTTCGTTGAAACCTTCACAGGACACCTTAAATAATAAATACAAATAAATAATTGCAATGTAACCAGATAGCGAAAATAATACCAATAAAAACTGTTTTATTTCCTGAATAACTTATAAGTTATCTACCAACTTACAGGATATTGAATTAATTGTTGAAAACCAATTTGTTTTGGTAATATATCATTTTCAAACAGAGTAAACCCTTGTTATCCTGATTTACATTCTAATAAGAGCTCGATGGATGGAAAAATGTCCACGGTCAGCATGCATGTATAACTTGTTTGGTTTAGGCCAGGGGCGGTTCTAGGGGGGCGGGGGCAACAGGGGCCATTGCCCCCGTAACACCGACCAGGGACCCCCGTGGCACCGCTCCAAAAAAAAGGTTACAATATTACAATTTATTGGAACTAAATCAAATCAGAGACCCGGATGTACAATGGAGATTAAACTGTTCATTACCTCATATAAAAGCAAATACTGTTTATGTTTTTTAATTAAATTATCACTTAAAGTTACTAAAACAAATACTCTAAATGAAAAAAACCACTGAAACAAAGGACTGTAACTTAAATGTACTAAAACAAATACCTTTACAAAAACAAATACCAATTACTGTATTTTATGTTTATTTTACACAATAACTTTATACTGTCTTTGTAACCCGCTTTTATTGTGCCCCTCTCATGAAATAACTGGCCCCAGCCTGACCCCCCTAGTCAAATTGGTCTAGAAGCGGCACTGGTTTAGGCACCCTTACCTTGAACTGCGTGGGCGCATTCAGCTCAGACTGAATGGTATCCAGTTGAACTCTGAGATGCTCCTCGTCCACTTGGATAGCATAGCCACTTTTTCTCTGGATCTCCTGTTTGATCAGCACCTGGCAGGAAAACAGGGATGGGAGGGAGGAGTGATCAATATCAAAGAAAATATTGGGCACACAGACAGTGCCTGGGCATTCAAACTCTAAGTGGGGACATGTCTTTTATCATAGACCTTGTCAATAACCAACAAAATGTGGCTGAACAAAGAGAGCAGCTACCTGCAGCACCCTGTGAGAGAGATCCATCAGCTTCCTCTTGTACTGCGCAATCTTGGCCACTGTTGTCGCCTGGTTCTTCTGCAGTTCACTAATGTCACCGGAAATAATCTGTAGTCCATGTGTGGGTGTTTTTGTGGAGAGTATTTGTGTGGGAAAAAGGAAGGGAGGTAAATTATTAACATTTTTGACATTTCTCTACCGATAACATTTTTAATAGAAAACAATTTAGCTCAACAACAAACTATGTTCAGTTTTTCAACTCAGTCCTACACACAGTTTCCCTCAACAAATAGTGAGTGGCTTGTTAATAAAAGGTCCTTTCATGCAAGAAATGGAGCCCGAAGTTCTCCAAAATAGGGAAAAAGACACAAAAAGAGCTTCGCATTGATACACAAAAGTAAACACTTGTGGCTGTATTTATAATATTTATTTTGGCTATAAACAACCTGTTGGCAGCATTTATTGGACATCTGTGTACTCTGTCCTTGACACCACAAACTCTGGTTCAAAATACCTTTGTTGATTATCAGAAGGCACTGTGCCCATGTCCAGCGAGTCTTTCTTTGACATTTGGAGAGCTAAAACAGACAGCAGTGTTTTCACTTACATCCACTCTGGTCTGGTGCTGTTTGGTCATCTGCTCCTGGAACTGCAGCCTGCGAAGGAGCTCCTTGAAACCCACCATGGGCACTGGTATTAGTCTGGACATATTTTTGTATTAAATTAAATGAAAACATGCATTTGTACATAATGTTACTTAATGTCTTTTTTTTAGCAGAAAAGCAACAGGCAGAAAAGCAACAGGCAGAAAAGCAACAGGCAGAAAAGCAACAGGCAGAAAAGCAACAGGCAGAAAAGCGGTGCATAATGGACAATGTTCAAGCATGTCAGAGCCATCTATTATTATTTTGTTGAAATAATGAGTGACATGTGGAAACACTTTTAAATCTCTTGAGAAAAAAGGGCTGTTTAATTGAACTTTAATTCAATATATATAGGAAGTCTAGGCAGCGGCTGCAAACACCCAAATCTGAAAAAATGTATAACACTAACCTCATAAAATATGAAGCTCTGATTTGGTTGTGTGAAGCTTCTTTTAAATGAAAATGTGCATCCAATTAGGATAAACGCGTAAAACGAGTAGCTCTTTATTGCATAGGTGGTGCAGGGAGTTAAGAAAATAATTGATTAAGAGCAGGAGAAAAAAGATTCAAACAGGACGCGCTGGAGAGGGGGCGGGGCTTATAACCATGTAAATACTGTGGTGGGAACCAACTACGACAAAATGAACCTATTTTATTGTGATTTAATTGTAATACACGCTTCAAAATGATGCCGAAGTAACTAAATACTGATAACGGTTAGTAAAAACCAAGCTGTCTAGTCAGGATTCACAGTATTGCACTTCATTTATTGTCTTGGTTGATTCTGTTGGCTTATATTTGATCAATAAAGGTATTTATATTGTTTTTCCCTTTTGAAACAGATGTTCAGTTATGCTAAAGTCTTTGATTGCACTTCAAGTCTAAAGCTTACATTTTAATTGTTTGGCACTGACTTTTCCTCATTGATGTTTTATGTTTTACTTAGTTATGTTTTACTCTCCTTTTCATGTGTATTGATGTAACATCACTGCTAGTGCTACCTAAAACAGAAAGTGAATTTTTATACTGAGAAACTGTGCCTTGAATATTTTATTTTATTTAGCAAGAGAGTGCACTTTACTTGGCGAACAAACCAGTGTTAACGTTTGTTGTAGGGTGTAGGCCTACCTACTTGAACACTGAGGAAGCCATATCAAAATTCCTGTTGAATTGTTCATTCAGGGATTCATTGCAGAATTAAAACCAGTTTGAAATGGTATTTTGGTCTGTTACTCCTTTTTATTTGAGTTTTTGTTACCTTGGTTGTACTGTTAAGTAACTTGAAAAATAACCATAATAACTGACATGAAAAAATATCGTGATAAATATCGTCTATCGTGATACTGCTTGAAAAATATTGTGATATTATATTTTTC